ACCAGTGGGGTGTGTGGGGGTGGGAGGGGCATTGTGGAAGTGCAGAAACATGGTGACTTACATGTCAGAGCAGGAGCTTGCTTTGAGGCAGGACGCTCATAGACTGACAGACAGTTACCTGGGCTCATCATTGAAACCATTTCACCTGTAACCTGAGCAGCCTGGCTTCTAAAACGACATCCGAGCTCTCCTGGATTCCAAGTCTGGTGATGAGGAGCTGAAATAAGGCACTAACTGAAAAGTAACGACAGAACTATAAAGACAAGGGCGGGATATCATGTCATATATCCCTGCATGTCATGACCACAGCTATCATGGAGCTGGCACTCGCCTCCCATGAGAGCCAACATCAGCAACCTCCTGCCAACTCCTCTTGGTTGAAAAGCCACCTTATAATAACTATAAATATCCTAAAAAATAATCTGCTAAACAACAGTGGCACCTGCCATTTTGAGTTGACAAAAATGAAAGCAAATCAACCCCGACCTCAGTTCTGCTTCAAATCAAACCAGCCACAATTTTTCTATGCTGTTCACTTACAACATTTTGACTGTTCCACATCTCTTTACTTAGAAAAATCAGAAGATACTTTATTTGTTACACTTAGTCCACCAAGAATCTCAGGGAGGACAACTGAACATGTAAAGAGTGTTGATCAGACTCCCCTTCTCCCACCAGAGAGGAAATTATATGAACTCACTGGGGAAAGATAAGGCTTCTTCCTTGACATGACTGCATATAGTACAGATTCCACTAAAATCACTGCTGTATAGTCACAGAACAATGTAGATGTAAGGACCTTTATTTAATAAACACTAGCCAAAAATCATCACCAAGAGCTGCCATTTTGAAATTTTGAAGACAGACAGATCACAAACCAAAGCAGATCATAAACAAACCTCTAGATGGTTACAGTTAGCATTTACTTCCGAATTTAGGTCATTTGGAATTTGCAGAACTTTTTTTTTTATTATGGAGTAATATGCAGATACATTTTCAGTTATCTGCTCCTTTATCCCATTCACCTAATGTCTTGTGTAGTGTGAGGAAAAGTCATACAACAGACATTTGCTTTGAAGTTTTTCTTGTTATTTTAAAAAATCTGACTTCACCATGGTCACCAGGCCTGCATGTTGGTCAATGAGAGAGCGAAAGAGAATCATTTCCTATTTGAAACCTCACTATGTAATAAAGGGATAGCTATGCAAGCTGGCTTACCACCCCTGAAGCATCCAGAGATTTGTTGTTAGATATAGGACGAGAACAGATGAAGGGCAGTCAGGACGGGGCTTGTTAAAGGGTCTCGGTTTTGACATTACCAGGGAAACATCTTCCCTAACACAGTCATCTCATAGGGGAGTATTCCTGCAATTATAAGGTCAAGTCTGGGAACCATTCACAATCTCTGTCCTAAGCAGAAAAAGAGGAACAGTGTAGAGACAGTGGACAAATTAGTTCCTGTTTAAAACAAGAAGATGAAGCACGTAAAATCTGAATGAAAAAGGCTCCAACACTGTCAAAATACAGAAACCTAAAACCAACATGGCATTAAGTAACGTATACTTTCCATGAAAATAGTATGCGCACTTTGTAGTAACTACAAAATGGATGTAAAAACAATTAAACTACAGTACCTGCACTCTGGCTGTGTAGTTATGAGTTAGCTAGCCGGTGAGGTAGCAACAGCTAGTCTTAACTAAAACAAACTATTATTTACTTAATGATTTCTCATATCCATTATTTGTAATTAAATATCAATTTTGATGAACAGACATTGTGGCAAATATCTCATATATAATTACATGAAGTAGTAACATGGTGGAGGAAAAAAAGTAGCTGAACTTCTGCTAAAACTAAATAATTTCATTGCTTGAATCAGGTACCAGTCACATATCCACTGCTTCCTACTGGTACTTATGTAAATGTAGGTACAGCAAAAGCCCAGATGACTACAGGGAACAAGAGAAGAAGGATTTGACCTATTAGAGGACAGGAAAACCATTATCCTATAGGTATTTTGTAAATACTGAGTTTCTATGAGGTACACTGGGAAATAAAAATGGTGGTAACAACCTTTAAAGCACAGTGAGAGTGAGCACAGCCCCACATTATATTATGTCCTACACACCTTATTCCTTATTGTCACCTGGTTATATAAGTATAGTAGATGAACAGACAGACAACAATTTTCCTAAGCTATAGTTCAAATGGACAAGAGAACTGACAGAAGATATTTTGTTGGTAGATGTTTAGGTATCCAATGCTACAGTGGCTTTGTGAACCTATACAGACTCAGCAGTACTGTGAGCTGAATGCTAACGTCAGTATGCTAACATGTTTACAGTGACAATATTAAGATGCTGATCTGAGTGAGTATGGTGAGGGTGGTGAAAACAGCAGAGAAACTCATCGGGACCAGTCTCCCAGAGATCCTCACCATCTATACTACCTGCTGTCTACGTCATGTGCATAGCGCCCTGTGTGATCAGCATCACCCTGCACATCATTTGTTCCACCTGCTGCCCTCTGGGAGGAGATATTGGTCCATCTGTGCAAGAACCACCAGACTGGCACACAGCCTATATCCTCAGGCAGTGAGGCTACTGAATGAACAGCACTCCGCCCCCCCATCCATCACCAAATATAATCACACTCCACCACTGTGAACTAGTTGGGAGGCACTTTTGCTTTGCTATGCCAGGATTAAGATGTTCAAATGATATCTCATTGTTATTTATAACTGTGTTATTATGACAATGACAATAAAGTATTGAATTTGAATAACACCAAACACAAAGAACAGCTGACGCTGATGGTGATGTCATTAGTTTTGCAGGTGTCTAGGTGGTGCTGGATGAAATAAAAAGTTGCTGTATTTAATTCTGGATGGAACATCAACTCGTGTCTGTTCAAAATTTCATTGCAATCAATCTAACTTTAAGTCATAAAGGATCACTAAAGGTTCATCCTGGGGAGACCATGGATGCATGGAATTTCATAATATATCATCTGATATCTATTGAGATACCTCATTCAGGTCCACAGAGCCATGCTACTAATTAAAAAAGACATAAAACAATAATACATCCATGATTACAACCTCTGTATCTGTTACAGTTTGTTCACAGTTCAACTTCACTGCTTTGTATGACAGAACAACATGCAGGTCACTCTTTGAGAAGCAACATGAAATGACATTATTATTGTTGAGAGACAGAGGGCTGGAATACTGGTTAGCTGTCGGTTGTGTTTCAAAAAGTCAGGCTTAGGCATTTATGTAAGCCTGTGAAATCCTCCATATAAAAAAAGGGAAAATTTAAAAGTGGTTCTCAAACAGCCAAATTCCATTTTCTCCTCAACACATCACAGTGGTGTGCTCACCTAGTAACTGGTAAACACACATCAACAATGACTAAAAGGCATTAATAGACCTTGAAATATTCTCCAAAGAAAACAGTTAAAATGTTGCCACTCTGCAAAGCCTGAGAAATATCATCTCTGCTGCTGCTGCAGGATACGTGCCTACTGGGGCTGCGTTCCCCCCAATGGATCTGTTTCACTTAGGCCTTAAAGGTTTATTGTGTCAATCGCTATCACAGTTGGAGAAATGATACCCAAACCATACAGCATAAGGTGTCCTTGGCCGACTGGCTAACACCTAACCAAGATAAGGAGTTAAAACTAAATTGCAGGGATTAAGCTCTGCCATAAAGTGTTGAGGCCAGAGCTCAACCTCAAACAATAGAGCCGAAGATCTCATGCATGTGTGTCACATGCTTGAAAAGAAAGTAAGACGTACAGTCAGACTTTATCTCTCGGGGTGTGCTGCCATTGGTAAATGTCAGGGAGGCGCTGGACAGGTATTCATCTGACATCTACTTGACACATGGTCATACAACGTGAATTATTAATTAAAACTTGAGAAAGGGATGAACTGGTTCTTTGGAAAAGGATGAGTTATTGCATTATATTCTGATTCTGATGTTTCTTCAAAAATTTCACTTGGCCTACCTATCCTGCATTGAGAGGTTAGGCTAAAAAACAGCAACACCTCCCTGTACTGTATACAGAAGTATACACCAACAGCAGCATAATGTACCTTCTCTACATGTATTAGCTTTGCAAAACAGTTAACAAAAAACTGAAAATTATAACTGCCACAAAAAGAGGATTTATTGCAGGACAGTTGTATTAGACTGTGAGCAGTGTTAGCTGTGTGTGCCTAATAAACTGGCAGCTGACTGTATCTTACAATTGTAGCTAGTTACCAGTTACTTTGCACATCCATGTTTCACATACAAACATAATCAACAAAATACTGTGCATTTATAGATTATGTAATGAGAGAAAAAGCAGGTAAATTTGTTGCACCACAACCAGCTTCAACATTAAAATGCTGCTCACACATGTATCCATTAATAATGATATTAATCCACCCATTTGATATTTGTAGTATAATGACACTATGAGCCATCCTGCATTGTCAGTACATTAAATTTGACTCATTTTATTTCAAAACTACATTACACACATGTTATGTCCAAATTTTTACATACACAAGTTTTCAAATGCAGGACTTCTGCTTGTAACATACTGTTTTGACTACTTTTACACATGTATAAATCTACAACAAGTGATGTTTTGGCCACTAGAAGTCACTGCAAACTATGAACATAACTGACAAATTAACAAATTTTAAGTGGATGACAAACGTGTTACCATACAGATGCTGATGTACACATCCATTAGAGCAACACTGGCATGCATTTTCAGTATTTCTGACCACCTGGCTAATATTTGTCAAATATTCTCTCTCCTTTTAGCTCTGCTTTTGGTCCTCACCGACTCAAAGGAAATATCTATGTTCTATGTATTTATCTGCTATGTCCATGAGCTAACGTTAGATGCTAGTTTTGGCTGCCATTTGGTGCTGGGCATGTAGCATACTGTGGATTTGAGAGGGATTTTGTTCCTGGAAAACAGTTGCCTGCTGTATAACGCTAAAAGAGTGATAAACTGAAACTGTTCTAGGCCAGAAACCAAAACACGAAGCTGATAGATGCTAAAATGCCTGATATTATGTGACAGATAAAAATAATATACAATAATGCTTGAAAATCCATCCAAGTACCCAATTCTCTAACACTTGCATTCATGTAAAAATGTAAATTTTCTCTCAGGATACGTTAATATTTATTATTATGACTATTAGAAAAAGGTTAAAGGAAACAAACACAGTGTAAAACACCTAACCATATTCGTGACACTGACTCACACCTAGACACAATGTGTACATCTAGCCTTGGTCTGGCTGTGGGAAGAACATACCCCTATACAGAAAGCTGTGCCTGGGCTACATGGCAGCGAGATGACTAAGCATGAGGCCCGCTGCTTGTGGCACTGTGCAGACATGTTCCATTCTGTCAGACCTCTGCAGCATATAGGGACCATTTCACACGGCCCCTCAGCTCTTGGCCAAGCAAGTAGGAACTTTAGAGACTCTGCTGACAGCCTATCCTGAGCACTCAAGCATTGCCATGTTTAACCTCTTTTTGTAAGACGGATTCCCCAATACATTTTCAAACCCTTATAAATACAGCACAAGCAGTTTTCACTAGTATAAGCTCAGGTGGCAGCAGATGTGCTGCTGTGGTTAATTGTGGCAGATCATATGAAAAAAATGCCTTCATTGTTCTTTATGAATGACTCTTATATTACACATCAGTGACAGGAAAAAGAACACTGATTCCTGTTGTAGGTATTTCCCCCAAACAGTGAATATATAAGGTAAGCATGTGCTTCAAACAACCCCCAGTATCACTGAGCGTGTTCACAGTGCGTGTGGTCTGAGGCTGGGAAACCATTTGGTCCTTTGAGTCTTGGACACCACCTAGTGTTGTTTGGTAGAAATTACTGTGCTGGTGTAAATTATACATATTACTATGAGCTCTTGGAGTTAAAAATAGTAATATAAAACCATTCACCATACAATAAAATCAAAAGTTGTTTACTTCATCAAAATAAATGTTTAAATTCTTTAAAATGTTGCTTCCATGTTGATCCTGCATTGCACCATGTCCCATATTAATTCATCTGCATCCACACACTCAGCCAGACAACTCAGGTTGCTCTTCCTCATCTTGTGAACATTTTCTGTACATTAACATGTATGCGGTGTCTCTGAAAAAGTAACAGCAATTATATTTTTAAATAGAAATTCTACAAAACAAAGTTATGCTTCTTAGAGATGTCACAGGAGAAGACGGTAAGAAAATTCCAGTACTATAAGCAAGAAACAGTACGTTAGGCCAAAAGCTGTTTGTTGATGAAAGACAAGGCAACATAATAGACAAGATGGATTTCCTCTGTTTAGGAGTTTGAAAGCCCCTGTGGCAAAAACAAGCCTTTAATCTTGACTGAAGAACAGACAATAAGGCTTTGTCTAAAGATCTGAAGCCGTTTCCGCAAGTAGACAGATTAAAGTTCCGTGATGTTAGAGGAAGTCAAGCATTTATGCATTCCAAATTATTTAACAGTGAGAGAGAATTTTTTCAATACAGGTGAACACAGACAACTGGAGATGTTACAATATAAAGAAATAAAAGTCTGACTAGCTCTTTGTATTAAAGGAATAGTTAGACATTTTGAGAAATACATTTGTTTGCCAAGGGTTTGATGAAAAGACTGACGCCAATGAAGCAGGAGCCAGGAGATGGCTAGTTTAGCTTAGCATAAAGACTGGAAACAAGGGGAAACAGCTAGCCTGCCACCATTATCTTCATGCACTGTTATTACAAGACAGAACAGACATAAAAAATGTTGCTGAGCAAATTACCTGCGCTGCCCTCCATAAGATGTCTGTACCTTTTCCCAGGAGACCTTTGTTTTGGAATGAAAAGCTAGAGTTAATCACAAGTTTGCATAAAAAACAATTACACTAGTATCATCTTCTTGAAAAAGTACATTAAAAACTATAAATTTACAAGCTATAAATGTTTCATGTTCACAATTTTCACAATGTACACTTTATATTTTAATTTATACAATATACAGTATTTTTGAATAAACATCCTAACAGCCTTGAATATGAGGTTTATGAGAAATAAACCACATTCAAGTGAGAGAGATTTTGTCAGATTGGACGTACCTGCTGCACGTCGCTGTCATCTGCATAGTACCAGTGTTGGTTCATCCTGTGGCGAACAAAGGCAGTATAGTGCCCACACATTGCAATACCAGAGTGCACTACCACTGCATACAAAGAGTACTTGCATTGAGTCTGGAAAAACAAATAAATGTTTAGATGACAAAAAATATAATATCCAAATTCTAGACAGGAAATACAAGTACCTGGGCAAAGTCTGTGGCGAATGCTTCTGGAGCAATCTCAGCAAAGTCAAAACTTTCTGGAAACGTGACCTTGCAATTAAGCTTTCGGGTGTGACCAAGGCTATTTCGAAACCGTTTCAGGTGCATGCACAAGATACGGGGCAGGGAGCGCAGTTTAACACCCTGAAAGATAAATAAAATCACAGAGCTGATGATTGTTTGCTAATAGTTTTGTAAAAGTACTGAAACCAAGTCTCACCTGTTTAGATGGAGTCTTCATTCCACATTTTGCACAAAAGCAGCAATTTATACCTCTCAGCTCCTGATGCTCAAAGAATGAGGTCAAGCAGCATTCCTGAAAAGGGTCATGTTAGAGATAAGTTGGAACTCAGGAATATTTCAAGTCTGATATTATGGAAAATATTTGCTTTATTTCTAAGAAGAGAAAATCTAGACCGCTCTCACAGCTGTAAGGTAATTGTGAAATGGCAGACAGTTAGCACAGCTTAGCATACAGACAGGAAAGCAAGGTCATAAAAGTAACAAAATCCACCAACCAGCACCTCTAAAGCTCACAAATTAACATATTATCTCATTTATTTCATTCATACAAAATCTGGAGTGTACAAATTTAGCTGTTTCATAGTTATGCTCCAGTTTAACAACTGCTCCTAGCCAAAAAAAAAAAACAAAAAAAAAAACAATCCAGTACATAACCCTCACCTACAGCTTTGCATGCAAAACTGGGAACAGCCTGGCTCTGTTAACAGGTTAAACAAAAACCATCTACCAGCACCTCCAAAATTCACACTTTAACACATTATATGTTGACAGTTTAACCCATACAAAAACCCAAGTATAATAATGACATAAGGCAGTTGCATGGAGTCAGAACTACAAATTCCCATTTTACACTTGTATTCTGACATTGATTAGTGAATTGAGATATAATGTGAGCTTGCAGACTGTTACTTTTGATCTGAGCTCATTTCCCCTTTTCCAAATCTTTTTTCTAAGCTGAACTAACTGGCTTTTAGTTGTACAGTAGATTTACATTTCATATAAAGGCAAAGAATATTTCAGGAAAAAAAAACATGGGTCTGTTTCCAACAATGTTTAAAACATTCTTTAAACAATCTAAATCTGTGCAAAAGAGACAATGCACCAGAGAGTTGTGATCTTCCTTTATAGGCACAGACAGGTGGAGCAGGTAGTTCATCCCAGTCTGGACGCTGCTGCACTCTAAACACTGCAGATGTGTCTCCACAGAAATCCTGTACAGCTTCTGGACTTCAAGAGCCTGGCAGACAAAACAAATGCAAGCAAATACAGATCATGTCTTTCAGACAAAAAAAATCTAAAAATATCATTGATGAAGACCAACCAGTGCCTTGTCATCTATCTGCTGTTGCATGAAGTTCAGGATGGAGAGGAACACCTCATCAGCATCGTGCTGTATATTAACTGCAAAACAGCATTCTCACGTCACACTTTGTGAAATAAACCACATCAGCAGGAGACGTTTAATGTGTAAGTCTGTGGTTCTTACGCCGAACACGGTTTCTGTCCAAACAGTGGAGGAAATCACGATGAGGAACAGGCTGAGGAAGGTCGCTCCTCATGGCTATGAGGACTCTCTTTAGTTGTAGGGGGATGTTATGACTGTCCACACTCATACCAGCTGTTTTCCACCTTGTGCAATTCATAAACCCTCATTAAAGTTTATTTTTTAAGACCTGGGAGAACTTTCTCAGCCCATTTTGGTTTGTAATGTACAATTTCCAAAGTTTTTACAGGTTGAAAGCATTGTATTAGAGCATTGAATCTTCGCTTACTTTTCTAGCAGGTCTGTTAGTTCCCAGGTAGCAGAGAGGGTCTGCAGTAAAGTGTTCACACAGCAGGACAGATGATAATTGGTGAGGCCTCTCATTCCTGTGACAGAACATCAGAAACATTAAACAACAAACTGATGCCATCATTGGTTCTACCTCTGCTAAAGGCCTAAAGTGGAGCTTTGAATGTGCAGGCAAAATGGCCTAAACGTAACCGTGTCAAGTCCTGATGCTAACTGCTCTGAGTACAAATGTCAACATCCACCTCAAGTAAATACTTAATCAAAAAACTGTTAACAAACTGATCATTTTTATAGAAGACCAAGCAAGAAAGTTGTTTGGTTAATTGGTTTAAGGCCCAATATACAGCAGATGACTACCAGGTTTATTTCACATAGATCCAGGTCAGGTTCAGTCTTTGTTTTCTGTATCACTGGTACACACAGAGGATTTATTAGCTGTGAAGATTAAAACAATCCTGTTAAATGCAGTATGAGACAGTAGGAACTGACGAATGGGATAGAAATGGTTACAGATTCAAACTTTTAGATTGTAAACACCCAGGGACCCATGAAATCACTCATCACGTTGTAACATGATATAACCACTGTTGAGGTCCAGGGACCCTCAGGAAGTTCACTGATGTTTCTAATTCTCTAAGGATTCATAAAAGAGTTTCAAAAGAAAAACAGCTGTTTAAACTTTGCCATCCTCTAGAAAACAGTACAGGCTATGGTCAGACAAACACGTGACCAGAAAAACAGAAGCATCTCTGGGAAATGTGCTTTAAATCACACATAAACCAAGTCTCTAGATCTGCCTTCTTTCACCTGCGCAATATTGCAAAAATCAGGAGCATCCTGTCTCAAAGTGATGCTGAAAAACTGGTCCATGCATTTGTTACTTCCAGGCTGGACTACTGTAACTCTTTACTATAAGTATATCCCAATAATTCCCTAAAAAGCCTCCAGTTAATCCAAAAGGCTGCAGCCAGAGTACTGACAGGAACTAGCAAGAGAGATCATATCTCTCCCATATTAGCTTCTCTCCACTGCCTCCCTGTAAAATTCAGAATAGAATTTAAAATCCTTCTCCTAACATACAAAGCCCTTAATAACAAGGCTCCATCATATCTTAAAGACATCATAGAGCCTTATCATCCTAACAGAGCACTTCACTCTCAGAGTGCAGGTTGACTTGTGGTTCCTAGAGTCCACAGAAGCAGAATAGGAGGCAGAGCCTTTAGCTATCAAGCTCCTCTCCTATGGAACCAACTCCCAGTCTCAGTTCAGGAGGCAGACACCCTCTCTACCTTTAAGATTAGACTTAAGACGTTCCTTTTTGATAAAGCTTATAGTTAGGGTGGATCAGGTGACCCTGAGCCTTCCCTTAGTTATGTTGCTATAGGCCTAGCCTGCTGGGGGGCCCCATGATGCTCTGAGTTTCTCTCTTCCCCTCTCCTCTCTCTCCCTATGCTTCTATATGCCACCATTACACATCACTAACTCTGTGTCTCCTCTCTCCCGTAGTGTGTCCTCTCTCTCTCTCTCTCTCTCCCTGTACCTTTCTACAGGTTGCCCTGGCCCTGGAGCTCTATGTTTCTGATGAGTCACCAGCCACATCGACCTGATCAGTGTTTGGTCAAGGGGGATTTGTTGGGTTTTCCCTATGTAATAATAGTGATAACAGTAAGGTCTAGACCTTACTTTGTAAAGTGTCCTGAGATGACTTTTGTTGTGATTTGGCGCTATACAAATAAAATTTGATACTGTAATAGTACAAGGTCAGGCGACTTCTTTCTATGTGCTGTCTCAGTTCAGTTCTATTTGGACTTGCATTGTTGTTGTATTGGCCTGCATGAAGACTTTTCCAACACTGCCACTTTAACATCTACGGAGGACCAAAACATTAGAAATACTTCACAGTACAGTCCAATACAACTACAGTCTGAAATTGCTAAAAAGAGATGAACTGACACCTCTTTAGCAGCTAAAGTCAGAAGTATTTCACAGTGGTAATTTACTGTATACCGCAGGCTACTGTGCCACAGTGTGCCGTCTACTTGCCGTAGTGGAGGTCCATCATTCTAAATACTGAAGAAAGCCTCTGGATCCCCTTCATCAGTGCAGACTGGACTTCACGGTGTAGCCTGAAGATCTGCAGAGTCGTCGTGCGCCGCATGCACCGGATTACTGACAGCACAGGAGCCAAACCTGCCGAGAGTGAAACGCTCCTGTCGTTTCAGAGGAAACATCGCCGTCACATCCACAGCCCATACTTTCACTTTTGTTTTACGCGTTTCTACTCGCTGGGTGTTTAGCTGGAACCGAAACTTACAAGCTGTCCTGCCCAGACTAAAATAAAGGAATTCAGCATATAAGCTCTGTTTCATTTACAAAGCTTCTTCCGGTTCTTTCAAACCAGGAACTCACAAAGACGATGTAGACCACTTAGATTTTATAAAAAATAACCGTGCTGGTTTATTCAGAGGATCACAGGTAAAATTAACATTACACGTCCAGATCTCTCCCACCACCAAAACCTGCTCGCAGGCAGCTTGGAAGATGAAAGACCCTGAACCAAAAAACCTATACAATATTAATCATTTGGTTGGGAAAGCCCATACTACGCAGGCACGTCAAACCGTGACGTCACCTGATATGCCAGCCTGCAGCTGACCATAACAATAGTCAAAACATGAGAAAAGTCAAGGTGTGTGGCTGTTGATTAGTGGTGTGTATCTAAGAACAATTTGACATGACATTTCACATTAAGAAAAATATTATGATTAGCATTACAGTTAATAATAACAATCCTCCCTGCCTGCAGCCTTTGTCTGATTTAATTAGCCTTGGCCTAGATGCAGTCTGCAAGCACATCAGAATAACTAAGCATTTAACAGCCTGAGCTAGACATCCTGGCTACACTAAACATTTCTAGACAACAAATCTCTGAATATCTATCTAACTAAGAAATTACCTAACAAGCAGCACGACGAAGTGGAAACATTTTACAGTTTGTGTTGGGCTTTTTTTAAGTTACGTTTTACAGTAGCTCAATTGCTTAATTAATAAATTATAACGTACAGGTGTTACACCAAAATCTGTGACCCGTCTGATTTTGTGACTACGGGGACGCTGTTGTACATTTTTAGTCTTTTTGTGCCGAACCAGAAGAACACCATGTACATAAAAGCTGTAAACTAGTCCGAGCGTAGCTCTGAAGGTGGCAGTAATCCACCTAAAGATGGTTGCCAACCGCCATTAAAAACAGAAAAAGAAGAACAAGAAAAACTTCTACTGGTGCGAGTGAACTGTAGGGCTGCGTCCGAAACCGCATACTGTGACAGTACGTACTGAAAGAGATGAAGTACCTACTTACTGACCGTTAAAACAGTAGGTACTGTATAGTATGGAGGCCCATTCCCGCGAGTTAAATGAGAAATAAAACGCTCTAAGTCGTTATTTCTACTTAGCTAAGTCGGAATTCCTACTTACACTTCCCTAAGTCGAAATTTCGACTTTGCTAAGTAGAAATAACTAGATAGTGTTAGGTTATTTCTTAGTTAGATAGATATGGATTAGAGATCTGTTGTCTAGAAATGTTTAGTGCAGACAGGGTGACTAGCTTTGCTGTAACTATTCAGACTGCAGGGACTGCAGGCACGCCAAGGTTACAGGAAAAGAGCTTTTAGGGTTAACTGTAATGCTAGTCTTAATATTTGTCTTAATGTGTAAGGTTATGTCCAATTGTTTAGATACACACCACGAAAACAACAGTCACGCACCTTGACTTTTCCGCATGTTTTGGCTAAACGTTATGGCAGCTGCAAGGCTTGCTTATCAGGTGACGTCACGGTTCGACAGCCCAGAAAGGATTAATATTGTATAGCAATGCTTGGTTCGGGGTCTTCCTGCTTCCGGGCTGCTTTGGCAGGCTGGGGGTTTGGAAGATCTCTGGACTGGAAGTGTGGATTCTTGCCTGTGACTTTTTGAATAAACCAGCACGGATATATTTTTTATATACTCAAGTGGTCTGAGTCGTCCCTCTGAGTTCCTGGTTTGAAAGAACCGGATGAGGCTTTATAATGGTTTTTACTTTGGTTAATACCAACATGAAGACAAAAGACCCTGGGCGGACAAAATGTTTCTCCTTAGATATGAAGGCACAATAGAAACAGGTGGTCTTGCTCA